ACAACAGAAGTTCCGAAAATCGCCGGGCGAAACAATTTATTTGTTTCTGCAGAACCTTCTCAGTTAGTGTTTACTGTTTACCATCGTTCCCTCGTCATCCAAACACTCCGAAGGCGAATCGGAACACTGAATTCCGACCGCGGTGAGGGTCGTTCCCGATCGTATCGAACCCCATTCACCTCAGAAGAATAACAGAATTATTTTCTCGGACTCGGGTGACTCCGATGTGTCGCCGCGTAATCAAGCGGAATTCTCATCGGTGAGTGCTTCATTTACCCATATTTGATGAAGGAATGAGTGAAATGTGATAGAAAACCCAGAGATTCGAGACGAATGGAATTCTCTAATGCACTGTGATTCCCTAAGAATGACGGAATCTTCTCCATGAGCTCGCCGGCCTGAGAATAGGATGCCCACGAATGCTTCTGACTGTGAAGTCATCGGGATCCCACAATAGCGTTCTCGGAACACGGACCGAGCTCAGGGATGTGGACTCCGTGCTGACCGATGAGATCCGGCACGAGATATTCAGCCCGAAGAGAGCGCTGACACTAAATGCCTCTCGCAAGGAACATGCATCATCACGGCGCCGGCGCATCGCACTTGGGGAGAATCGTCTCTCCCCTGTGATACCTTTTTCTCGAAGATGCACATGTCCTCCGGAGTTTTCGGCTTCTGAGAGGTTTCATCCTCAGGGGGGCGGGGTCTTGTATCCGAAAACTGAGGGCTAACAAGGAAGAACGAGATGTCAAATTTTTGTCGAGGGAACGCTTCGGGGACCTCCAACAACAGGTAGCGATACATGGATTTCCCATCAGAGAGCCGGCGGCTCGGCCATACGCTATAAAAGAGGATCGATCCTTCAACGATGACGGGAGTATCCTCTTGTTCAAATAAGACATCTCTAACCTTACCCCACGCCTCCGCTCCATTCTTGACCAGGGTCCGACTGCATCGCATTGCGTCCAGCATCGCGCTCTCTCGGTCATTGAGAACGACAAAAATTCTATTCGTATCCGTCTCTGACACTTTGTTGGTCACACCAAGTCCTTCAAGGATTCAAATTGAGTGAGCTCCGCGGCATCCATCTCACTCCGACTGACTTTGCACTCGGAGATTTCGTATCTCGCAAATCAGAGATAGGAGCAAATACATCAGGAGCTGCGAAAATCTGATCTTTCGAGGAGTCCCTCCGAGTGCAGGTTGTTTTGCTCGAGGAATTCACCGCCTCTCAAACTGTTCCCAAACTCGGCGGTGTTCAATCATCGGAGCCGCGAATGAGCGGAGCGATCTGATTTGACAGGAAACTTCCCGGCGCTGGAGCACACATTGTTCGGTTTCAGTAATTGAATCTTGAGAAGAGATTTCGAAGACGGCGACCGGCTCGCGCTTCGAGAAAGGCTTGTCGGCAATTCGTCACCACGATGGATGACATCAGAGCTTTGCTTTTCAGCCTCGAAGAATGAGCGGCCTACGTGCCTGTTCCCCCGAGCGACATTTCCCTCGATCGCCGATCCAGGCGGACAGCGGAGGGTACTAAGCGAGGTCGAATGCAAAGAAAAGTTGGCATCGTCGTGCGCAGACAGAATGGAAATCGTCCAACCGGGAACATTCTACTCCTACCAAAGACAATGGAGGCAGCCAACTCCCATTCCGGCATGGTTTTTGAGTTGGATGAGAACAGAAGGTCCGAGGTTCTCCAATATTTCGCGTGAGGATCCGGAGCTTTATGAAGATTTCCCGCGAACAGCGCAGGCTGGATACTCTGCGAGCAATTTGAGTCGCTGATGAGGCTGAGCAGAGCGGCGCGATGAAGTTGCTCATCGAGTAAAAATCCGTTTCGGGATTTGCGCACGGTGGAAAAAGTTTGGAGTCCATTTGTGCAGTGGCCGCTGGCTGGCTTACTGCTCGAAGAGATGATGGGCGTCCGTTCGTTCGTCGTCGTCTTCGTGAGTGACGTTCAATGGGGCGAGCTTGAGGTCGTTATGAGCTTCTTTGAATGTTTCCTGGGCCACTGCTCTCCGGGCCATGGACTCCATTTGAGCACTTTCTCCACTACATCCGCTGCGTTTGGTGTTGAATTGATACGGAACGACTTAATGACCGACTTTCTGAAGGAAAATGCAGAGCCGCGGGCGAAAGCTACTGGCTGAGAATCTCCTCCTTGACGAATACATAGTTCTCAATATTCAGCGGATATTCTCAAATCCCGAACGTTTCGGACATCAACCACATTATTCAAGGGCAGGCGCTGGACAAGGGAGGAGGGATAGATCAACACACGCATTTGGAATCGGATCCTCGATTTTGATCGGAAAATCGAAAAACCTACTCAAGACTGCGGTCATCGGACTCCTTTTCCTCTGAGGATCGTCGAACTCCTCGATCGCCAATGAAGCCACGCGATAATCTCGAAGCGGCGAATTTAATATCTTTTTTCGGTCGAGGACTCGCTCCGATTCCCTCCCGGATTGCGGTGTACATTGAGAATCTCTATTGGATCCTCACATGACTGTTCTTCGCTTCCCCGAGGAAACCGATTTCATGCAGAAACTCACGAGGATTTTCCATCTGATTTTCAATCTCCATCTCTCGAGACGCCAACGGTGTCGAACTCTTCTCGTGAATCGTGATTCGTGGTACGGGACATGGATCATGTCACATGATTCACCCCTTTGTGATGCCCGGCGGTGGAGTCAATCGAGAAGTCAACAAACTCCTTCGAGCTTCATTCGCCTAAGCTTATTTTCCGTAAGCGGAATCACGCTATCGAGACAACTTAGGGGGCCTGAACACGATCCATCTCTACCGTTATTTCCGGCTGTTCCCACTCATCGCTACTCGCGGGAAAGCGAGATATGTGTATTTGGATATACTCTGTAGCGCAATGGCGAGTCGCGGTTCGCGCCGTTCTGAATCCTTCAAGAAGAAGGTTTCGGGGTCAGCCGCCTCCGCGGAAAATGACAAACTTTCCAGAGCTCGGTTCCGGTATCTTCACCAGCTCTATTCCTGAGTGTCCGGCGCTCGTGGTCTCGTTGAGAGCGGGACGACGACGGGAGATTTCAGCCACGCCCTGCGTCAAATCCCGAGCAATCGATTCGATGTGTCCTGAATGAGTTCAGGGAGCTCCCAAACGCGTCGGCTATATCTGGCATCGGCGACTTCCGTCTGCGAGAGAGTTCGCCATCGGGCATTGAGATTGAATAGCGTAGCATCCGAAATCGAGTCTGCTCAAATCACACGGAAGGTGTATCAAATGCGCAGAATAACTTCGAAGCCGTCGCCAGGAGGGACCAGACTATAATTTTTCAAGATCAGGCGTTTCGACAAAAAAAAGGCAGAAAATACTACTACAGCGTAGAATTGCAATGATTTTGAGCAAATGGAGCTCCCTACTCTCGCCTGTTCGAAACTTCCACTTCCCAGTCTGACTCCGCCTTCCTTGGGTCTGCGGCACATATCAACCAGAATTCGCTGGGAGGTGACCTGAAACAATATCCTCTGACCAGGATGAGGAATATCAGGAAGTAGCCTGAGGCGGAATGGCAGTTTCAGAGTTAGGGGTTCCTTCACAGTCATAAGTAGAGCTAGGAGAAATGCCAGAGAAGGCAGGCGAAAGAGCACATAGGCACTGAGCAGAATAGGCATGAAAGGCAGGGAGAATGCCGCAGCGAATCGTTCATCGGTGCCGTCCGTGAGGAGTTCACGTGGGAACTCGGAGCCTATGAGTCGGTGACCGGAGGCGGTCTGATGGAAGCATTTCACATGATCGAAAAAAACTTCTGCGTCTGAGCGGACCATCGGATCGCAAGCGAGATGTCTTTCTGAAGCATGGGTCCGCCGACCCCATTTCGTATCCGATTCCGTTCGCAGACTCTGAATCCCCTCGGGATTCCCGAGATTCAGCGCCTCACTGGCTCGAGAGGGCAGTTTGGGTACGGGAGAAACCATCAGGCACATCCGATCGAAAAACGTGGAAAGAAGCACCCGTAGGCATTCATGTCAGAATGCCCGAACTTTCCAGCTCGAGTCATGACTCATGACTCATAACCATGATGCACGGCTGTATTCTGATCGACCCCATCCTACTCAGCCTTTGCACTGGTCTACGAGCAGATTTTTGAGTCGAATAACTCATGATCTTGCGTCGAGATCGTGGTCTCTCCTAGGAGCATGAAGCTCTCAGTCACGGGGATTCCCAAATTGGAGAATGAGATCTTTCTGGAGAATATCTCTCGACCTGCCGGCATACCTCGACGTCCTGCTTATCAGGACTTCATCAATCAGGCTGCCAATCCTACGACTTTTTCTCGAGCTGCGAAGCTCGCTCGTGGTACTACCTACGTATCCCTAAGAGGAGCTCCGCATGCTCGAGTGGTTGCGCTGATGATCGCCTCCACCAACTCGTACGGTGGTCGCAGGCAGTCATCCTTTCCCATGGGAGCTACAAGGAGTTCCGATCCGCGGTTCTCGATTCTCGGGTTAGTAAGATGCGTGTACATCTGAACACACACGGATATCTGAAGTGGGGGGCGATATGGACTCACCGACAATTACGCGACTCGACACCTGACTATTCAAGACTCTCAGACTTCTCGAATATGAATCCCCTCCCTGAGGGACCGAATGAGCGGAGGAAAGAGTTCTGATCACCAATGTTCCATGAATTCGTCTACCTCTGGACGACTAATCATGATCCTCAGTCTGTCATGACTGGAACCGGAAAAGAGTTTGTTGGAAAACCAGCCTGTGAGATCCCACTCCTGCTCATCCGTAACATGAAGCATAAAGCTAGAGGGGAGTATTCTCAGGTTTCTGAATCGATCGACAAATTTATTACGAAATCACCGCTCCGTTACCTCGATCGTCGAATTATTATTTACATGAGTATTTTCAAATAAATATCACTTCCGTGCGGCCTGCCTCGACAGGCTCATTCGATTGATTCCACCAAACCGTTTCGACGAGTCTTCTCAGAGCCAATCCCTGATAGATGACCCTCAATAGTAGGCGCGGGCGGCCAGAGCATGGTGTCCGTAAGCGAGAGGAGCGGCGAAGTGGGCGCCGTAGTGGGCTCCGTAGTGGGCGATGGGAGCTCCATAATGAGCGAGGGGGGCTGCAAGAGGGGCAGCGTAAACGTGGCGGGCGTAAGCGGGAGCAGTGGCGGCGAGAACAGGGGCAGCGTACGAGGCAGCTGCTGCGACGACAGGAGCGGCAGCGACGACAGGGGCGTTGTAAGACGCGGCACCGGTCAGAGACGGGGCGGTTCCGGGCTCATTGGTAGAGACCGAGGCGCGGAATCCAGCGGCGTCAGCAACGTAGTTAACGGTTCGGACACGGCCATCGGCATCACGGAGTCCATAGGATCCGATCTTGACTCCAAGGGCGTTTCCAGACTCTCGACGGAAAGATCCACCACTTAGGTGACCCTCGTCGTATCCGAAAGCGTAGTTTCCGAGTCCATCTTCGGATCGGTGTTGGGTGGAGGCACCGGTCGAGATGATGCCGGCGTGAGCCGATGCCAGAGCCACAGCGAAGACAAAGAATACCTGAGGAGCAGGCGAAAGGAATCTATGAAATCCAGCCTAAAGTTTTGAAATCCTCCAATCCACAAGCACAGGATCATGCATGACTTCAGGACTCATGTGGACTCCTGATGCGGGAACCGATTCCACTTCGCGGTCAAAAAGGATCGACAACTTTCGCAGACTCTGATTTCGATTCGCAGAGCCGGCACCGTCATTGAGGTTCTCTCGGAGTAAATTGGGCTCCAGGCCCCGTGCCGGAGACTCCACGTCGCTTCTCCGCGAAACGAGCCGGATCCGTATCCCACGCATGGCTGCTCACCTTCATGTTGAGAAATGTTCACGAGAGAATGAATGCTTTTCGACCGCGCGATTCGATTTAAATACAGCAGACTTGAGTGGGGAGTGGTTCCGACTGAGGTTCTGGGGATAAGTTGCGACTGGCTGCCTGGGCTGGTTCAATCACCCGCTCATTCACGCGCTTGCTCCCTCTGTCTTTGGCGGGCAACACCCTGTTGGAGAAATTTCGTTTTCTGCTGCCAAATCTGGATGAAACCGCATCTCACTCAATAAGCAAATCGCAAGGCCAACTCGAACAATACCTTCATAGATTCCGGGGCGGCCTCATCGAAGATCGAGCGACGTATCGATCTTTTCAAGCAGATCGAGCGTATCGTACTCGGGACGTTCTGCCGTCCGGCACTCCGATCTGGAGTGCCAGCGCCGCGGACGCGCGCAGGCTCCAAGGACTTCCAAAACTGGCAGCCGGTCAATGGACCATTTTCTCCGAGTTTTTCCGTTACTCTGAGAAGGGCATGCTCTCGCCGAAAACCTCTGCACAGACCTCGATTTCCCCGGAAATTCATCGAAATCACGAACTATGCTCATCTTGGGGAGCTCTCCGACTCCGCTTCGCGTCCGGGTTTCAAGCCCGAGTCTAGACCTCTACTACGCTCTATTACTCGGAGCTCATGGAATCTGCCACTCGTCTCAATGGATCGACCGGAACCCTCATACAACATTGGATTTAGGATGTTGCGCGGATTAGGCGAGCTTCCCGGACACAACAAGAGACCGCTCGTCAACGTTGAGAAGTTCTGATTTCCCCTGACATGAGTGACATATACCTCCTTTTGAAATTGGGTCAGAAGCGACCATTGCGCAACCATTCCGTTCATGCTCAATCTCGCCTGACAGACATCTGACAGCTCAATTTTGCGCAGTTCGTTCCAATCCTCCCCGGAAGCTTCCTTTCGAAACGATTCCGATCCTCCATCGTCAGTCTGGAGGAATACGCATGAATCAGAGGCGCCAAAGTCGGACTCTGAACCAACGCGCATTAGGGTAGCATAAACTCATGCTGACTAATTCTGGGCTGACTATAGGATGGAGCAGCCTTCCGAGGTTACTGGAGATGTCGAATCGTTACATGATGCATGATATGGCTGTACTGCACACGGCTCGTCATAACACCCTCCTTCATATGAAAATCTGTGACCCGAATTCACGGCGACATTCTCCGTTTCCACCTTGAGCTCCGGAGAAGTCCGAGAATGGATTCAGAGCCATGCTTCTTTTCCCAATCAATTGACCGGGACGGAGCAAAGCGAGGCAGGAACAATGTTTTCTTGTGGTGAAGAATGCTGATGAAAATTTTCTGTTATAGTCTAACACCTCGGCGAAATCTCACAGGGAACAGTCCCGCCAAAATACAGCATTCGGCGTTTTTTACTTGTCGGTTTCACATAGCTTCACCGGAATGGGTCGACAAGCTCCCTGCCGCCTTCCGGGGGAGTTCGGAAACTCCGACTCTCTGGCTTAAACTCGAGGAGATGATGGCCACGTGCTCGTGTTTGGAGAGTTCAAGTCAATAATTGTCCTCATGAGTCCGAGAATTCTTTTTTGAAACAGTCCAATCTTCACTCGTCCGGCGTCCGATCGGCTCCAGGCGGCCAAGGCAGCCGAAAATAATCTGATTTCCTTGGTAGTCACGTCAGCAACGTACATTGGTGAATGATTCCAAACGATTCACTCCCCGTCTTAGCTCATGCAAATTCCACGCTTGTGATTCGTTCTTCACTCCGCTAAGCGATGATCTACCGAAATTCAGAATTTTAAGTAGTAATCTGTAAAAAAGCAACGAACGGTGTCGGCGGTGGGGCCGACCGAATCCACCGCTCAAACATTTACACAAAGTAAGCGAATGAGCTATTTTCTATAATGCGAGCCTTTTCTCGGTGATTTTTCTGATACATTTTCCTCCATCTCCTACATTGAGCGCAACTTCCATTGATTAGTTCATGCGCTGGCTGGCGGGCGATTGACGGTTGATTCAAAGTCGACACCCGCCCGATTATTGCGGCTTCTCTCAGTTCGCGACGGTCAGACCAGAGAATATACAAGACACTCGTCATCCCAAAGCAGATCGACAACGAACAGCGGCAACGGATGAATTTCGCTCAGTCAGAAAATTTGATGACGGCCGCAGAACGACGACGGCACGGGGCTAGTGGCGGAGTCGATAAGAGGAGAAATTGAACAAAAAAGTCTCGTTGAGAAATGTTCGCCCTCCTTGCGGAAATCAACATCGTTAGCACAGTGCTTCAGAATTCAGAAGATCTTCGCAAAAATAATGACACCAGGATTGTTGTTCGCGGCACTAGTACCATTGGCGTGAGCCGAATATATCAAGAGCAATTTCCCGTGAGCTCGATAAGAGCTCACGTAATGCGGACGCGCCGAGAATTCATGAAGAGTACCTCGAAACTCCGGGGCTCCCCGAGGCAACACTCACCTTCAGAGTTCGAACGAGGCAGTCCACCAGAGAAGACCGGAGCACTCCGATTCCTCCCTCAAACCGAGATCGAGAAGTCGATGACACGTCTCCTTGAAGTTTTTTCCCTACGAGCGGAGAGTCCCGGAAATCGAATTTCCGTCAATAAGCCAGAGAAAAGCCGCTGTCTTCGATGAGGATGCAATCCGAGATGGCTGTTCTGCGCCTTTATGGTCCGCGCTACGGAATCCCTGCTACGCCGAGGGCCAGCGGTCAAAATCATTCGATTCCGGTGCTCGGCAAGCCCGGGGACTGTGCCACCTAAGGATACTTCCATGAGGTGCGGCCTTTAACGGACCCCCTCGAAAGGGGACTTCTGTTCTTCCCCCATCCTGTGCGAGCACACGGCTCTGAATCGTTGACCGTAGAGCTGTGAAGAACCTCCCTGTTCCAGCTGTTGATGGCAATCGACTAGCACGCTCGGTTCGGGAAAATACGGTGTTTGAAGATCAAATCCCAAGACTTCAAGGGGGGAAGAAGGATCCTGACGGTTCTGACTCGGGCACGGGAGTTTACGCGAAGACATCTCTCGCGGCATCGAAGAAAACTAGAAAGATGGCGGCTGCTGGAATCCGTAAGATTTGAAAAGTCCGGTATCCTGGAAAACGTCGGCCGTAACTAGCATCGACGCGCAATGACTTTTCAAGATCGAAACGTACGGAATTCGATCGTTTTGCATTCGGTCAGAGTCGTTGTTCCCGCCCAGCGTCCTTGTTGACCTGAAAATTCCATGACGTTCGACAGTATGACATAGAAAAGGATTGAGGATTTCCATGACAATTCCGTGCAAAGATTCGACGCCCGTCTCCACAACGGAGCGACGAAAATGATGGGCGTCTACACAAGAGTTATGCTGGCTCGCTCCATCGTACTTTTCATTTATTTTGTGATAAGATCAATATCGAATCACGAATTTTCAGAAAGACATCGCGCCACGCCGCAATCTGATTCGAGAATGAAGCGAAAGCAGAGGTGGGTAAGCGATGATTCTGAGCAATTTGCGGAAGCTCATTCTGAGATGGAATACCCACCATATCGTCAAGTTTCTTCCCGCAAGAGCTGACTCGCGGGACACCGCGTATTCGGAAAGCGGACAGACGAGCGGTCAGCTCTGCCGTTTATTGAAAAAAAGAATGAAATGAAAATTATAGAAAGCAAATATTTCGATAGGAAAAAATCATAACAGGGTGTGGCTGAAGGGCACTCGCATCTGTTTCCTTACTTCTCAGACGGCTCATACGTCGAAGTACATTCGTCGAAAGGCGATTAAGGCGACTAAATCGCCCGTTTCACTGCGTTAGGGCAGATCTTTCGGGACGTATGCAAATGTAACACGAGTGGAATTTCAACATTTTCCTCCTTGTTGACAGCATCTGGAGCCGCTTCAAGCCTCTAACCAAAACTATTCCCAGAAATCGGCATTCAACCGCGGAAAAGCTGACGCGTCGTTCCCGACTTCTCTCAGCGAAAATTAGCTGAACCCTCCTGTCGTCTCTAGAATGGATATCCCCAAGCTCGTGGATCTACATATATTGTGAAGCAGAACTTCATCGGGGAAGGGACTAAACTACGCTTCAGCACTTCACCTGTGGGGAAAGGACGGAAGAAGGAACTCACGGTTCGGAGTCCCAAAAGCCTCGAGTTTTCTAGGAGAGCGAGCCACTCAATTCTGATCCACATTGCCTGGAACACAGGCGGGCGGTCGCGTCGGAGTTCGCCCCTCGCCATTGTCATAGCGACTGGGCGAATTTCGGCTACACTCCGTGGGTCGCCCTGAGCTCTCGGTCCGACTTAGGTCGACGGCTCTCCGCCGGAACTCACATTTGACCTCAAGGAGGTTCGCGGAGGGCTTTGCGAAGCTCTTTGCTCCTATTGTGACCATTATTCCACGCTAATATCCCGCCGCTTCCTGTTCCCCCTCCCCTCGGCGGAATCGATCTAGAATGCTGAACGATGTCCATTAGCTCGTGTGCTCCGCTTTTCCCTTGTCGATATGGTGGTCTGTAGCACGAAGGCACAAACTCTCTTCGCCACGCTCTGACGTCACAATGGTCTGGATTTTGGAAATGCTCCGTCATATTTCAACTCCCGAGTAACAGAAGTGGAGGACGACTACCCCATCGACTCGCAGTCGCGAAAGACGAGCGGATTTTGGTTCGGGAACGGATTCCCTGATTCCATTCCGTCTTAGCGATACGATCGCGCAAGAGCCCGAGTTTCTCCTCGGTGCCCGTCTCCTATCGGCTTCCTATTTCATGCCTCGAATCGGCTTCCAGTTCCGGCTTGAATAATAAGCAGCCCACGCGAATGGGGGAATAAGAGACGAAATTCGCGAAAAATGGATGGCGTTCCGAGACGCTTCAATACATCGTCGGCTGTACCAGCCGATGGTTACTCAGCCGATGGTCAAGGGTTGCGTTCGATAGATATCGATTTCGATCTGAGATTCTCATTGAGTTTTGATCGACCGAGCACCCGCTCAGCTGCCCGAAATCGCGGCGACCGACGGACTTGTAAACGAATTCCTCCGCATTTCCACGACGCCGACGTTTCTGGGGTACGAGCCAGACCGCAAGTTACGTATGCAAACGTGGCGGATATCTGATGCAGGATCATTGAATCGGCGGGAAATACACCCGCGGAAATAAGAGAAGCTGGGCTCTGGATCGGGGAGCGAGAGGAATTTTCTTGTAAAACACCTCACCATTTACATTGTCCACAAAAAACATGAAGGTCACCGAAAGACTGAATTAGTTTGAACGGACGACGGCTCGCCGCTCGGACAATGTCCGTCTCAACGGCGAAACGGAAGCGAAAGTCGTTGCGTAAGCCGGATAGCTCAAGGAGCCAACATCAGAATGTTTGATACCCATTAGACCGACAAACGATTCGTTCGGCCGTTCGCGCCCCCATGAGTCAGTCCACCCGTGGGACCGAGCCGTCGAGACAAGAGCTGAAAAGATGTCTGTCTGAAGAACGAATTGTCGCCTATTTCCCAAGGTCCGGCGTCCACCAAATTGGTTTCGAAAACCGCCCAAGATCTCCGTAAACTGGCGCTCGCATGAGAGATTCGGCGACGTTGAGGAACTGAGAGACGAACTATTGGAGATTAAGTAGACGGGAGTCGGGGAGAAACTCGCCCACAGGCGGGCACACGAACCTCGGCGACCGTCTCTCGGAGTCGGAGATCAGCCTTCAGGGAGATCCGCATCTTTTCGCGCATGCCAAGAGGTCTGTGGGAGAGGCCCCGTGCCCTCTTTGGGAGAAATGGAAATTGCTTCTCGTCCGAGTGCTCAACTGACCGAGTCGAGTCCGAGAAAAAGTCTGACTGAAACTGAAGCAGACACTCTATAATTCAGATCTATATTCATGATCGGAAGCTCCCCGCATTGGTCGCGCGATTCCGACCTCTGGTGGACAAAATCGAAGCAGCCGCCGGATGTACCATCGTGTTGGTTTATCAAGAGGTCCGAGGACCATGAACGCAAGGGCCTGTGCAGTCTTTCCGCTGTAGGCTCGAAAGGGCTGGATGCGTGCAACACGCAGCGGTCTTAGGCCTTTTCAAGACGTTTCGGCATGATTCGAATCCTACCCGTGAGAGGCAGGGGATTCCTCCGCCACTTGAAAAATCTCCTCCCGCATGGAGTTCGCAATTAAAAATTTTGGAGTATTTTCCGACGATTGGGCGTCGCCGTTCAAGAAGACGGTTAGGCGAGCACTCAATCGATCGTTTGGGTCAGCAGCCAAAAATAAATGGCGGTGGGCTCTTTGATGCGCGATTTTCTAGTGACGTAGATGAACAAATGGTCGCGACTTGCGCCGCAGCTGCGACGGTCCCGGACGCCACGCGGTCGTTCTCCATTTCACCAGCAAACGGTGAATCGATGCGCGGTCCGGCGTTCCAGAAGTTTGCCAGAATTGTTCCCGCAAGGACACCTTACATAACGGCTCCGTCAGGCCGCACTCCGACCGCCCCGCATACATTCGATTGGGCTACGACGCAACGGTTCAGAACTCGCTCGGGAATTCTGTCGAAATCCAAAGCAGCTGCTCTACTGTCCATTGGATCAATCTCGTACGGGCGTTCAATCCCTCGGTTTTGGCCTGTCCAGTGGCGGGAGCCGTTTGACGCATACCGGCGAAATTGGATCGAAAACCCACCCCACTCTCACCCAGCCGCCGCTCTTCGTCTCGGAAGCTGGCAGTCAGAACACTGCGGCGACCTTGCGATTCTTCTTCCCGACTCGCAGAAAGGCCACTCACTCCTGTCACCGTCACGGCGTTCGACAAAAAAAAAAACAGAAAAAGCGAAACAAGCGCCCGCTAAACACGATACCCGCTCGGTCTGTTAGCTGCAGAAGTTCTTCCCCCTTTTTCTGTCACGTGGTGAGGCCCGCCCTAGCGAGCGTTTTTTTTTGGAAATTTTCAACGATGCGAGGGGAGGCGGCGCCCGTATAAAACCAAGGATACTCACAGTCTTCATCGGTACACTCAGTCGACTAGAATCGATCACACAACGAAAATGAAAGCCTTCTTCTGCATTGCCGCCCTAGTGGCCTCGACCAGCGCCGGAATAATCTCGACCGGGGCTTCGAGCCAACACCGATCCGAAGACGGACTCGGAAACTACGCTTTCGGATACGACGAGGCCCACCCAAGCGGAGGATCCTTCCGCAAAGAGTCTGGGAACGCCCTCGGTGTCAAGATCGGATCCTACGGACTCCGTGATGCCGATGGCCGTGTCCGAACTGTGAACTATGTCGCCGACGCCGCTGGATTCCGTGCCTCGGTCTCGACCAATGAGCCTGGGACCGCTCCTTCCCTCCCCGCTGCCGCTGCTTACAACGCCGCTCCCGCGAAGGTGATCGCTGCCGCCCCCGTTGTGGCCGCCGCTTCATACGCCGCCCCGGTTGTCGCTGCCGCTCCCGCTCTGTCCTACGCCGCGGCTCCCGCTCTTTCTTACGCCGCAGCTCCCGCTCTCTCTTACGCAGCGGCTCCCGCTTTCTCTTACGGCGCGGCTCCCATCATCGCCAACGCTGGAGTTCCCGCCCAGTACGCTGCGAATGTGTTCGCTCCCTCCGGAACCCCCTACGCCTGGTGAATGGACTGAGCACACCTCGCTGGCTTCTCTCACCCCAGCCGAACAGTATGAGTGAAAGAGTCTGAGCCTTCGCATTGCCCGGCTGTTCCTCTTAGTTTCATCTTCACCGTGCCCTGGGACTGCATCCTTCCCGTGATCCATTCTGTCTTGAGCCCTGGAGCTTTTCCAGCCTTTCATCTTCTCCTTCTGTTCTCGTCTTCTGCTCTATCTCCCTCTGTGTCGTACCTCTTCAGTCAGTCGCGGTCATTCGCAGAACAAATCCATCAGTGATTCTGTCCCTTCTTACTCTATCAATATCGCGTAGGGAATCTGTGATCTTATTCTTCAGTCTATGGGACCTCGGTTCCCTCCTCTCGTGGGATATGTGTATCTCCCTTGAGTGAATTTGGTTGTTGTTGTTGTTATTACTTCTGATCTAATCGGGCTCTTGCTCCAAAATCGTCGTTCCTACCAATGGTGGCACCTATGAGACCGAGAAATGTAAAACATTAGAAAAAAAAAGAATCAATCAATCAATCAACATAAGTCTCTTTCTTGTAGATGCGAAGCAGAATCTTTCATGAGGAAAATTTTTGGAAATTTTACCAAGCACGACGTCGATTCGGGACGATTCCTCGGTTTGGATATTAGGTAAATACTATATATAACGTCGCTGTGAGCGTTCTCGGCCTGAGCGGCATTGAGTCGCCCAGGAGTTCGCTGAGATCATTGAGCCATAGGTCGGTGGAGACGCGACACGTGCCTACTCTGTCTGTGGGGGGCCAAGATCCATGATTGAAGTATCGGGCAGGAAGGACCTCATATCCCGTGGTCTCTATATCGGTATTTGAATCGCATCGGGAGCCATCCCGAAAGACATGTGTGCTCAAGCAATATCGGTTCCGAGCATATGAAAATGAGTATCCTGTTACGCTGCTCCCCTGACTCGGTAGTTCTTGCTTAAAAGCAGCTCGGGGTTTCTGCTCTGCGCCACACACTTCCGTCGATAGATGCCTGGCGGGTGGAGGGGCGTCGGTTGCAGACTCGAGTCGTCGGGGAGTTTTTATCGCCGAATGCTTAGAGTGCTCGGAGCAGCTTCTTGGACGTGAGCTCAGAGCTTCATCCGCTCCTGCAGAAGAAGTCTCGGCGGATTTCCAGCGAAGGGGGGGAAATGGCCACATTCCAGTGGGAGAAACGATGAGCTACGCGTTTGAAGGATCTCACGGCTTCGTAGCCGAATACTGCGATGTTGAAGATCGTGCAGAGCAGGGAGGAGGGCTGTATGCTGCGAAAACTCTCCATATCGAAGACATCCGTTGCTTCCCCGCCGCACAGTGGCTCAGAATCGACTGAAAGTGGAAGAAACTCAGAACTCCCGATTGGCTGGGAGGATTGCCTCGAAGTTTGACTGGGAGAAGCGCCCGACCAGGACTGACCGATTCCGCCACCCTTCGGCCCGATCGCATGAGTTCAACACGTCTCCAAGGCAAAATGTCTCGCAGAGTATGGCTACCTCCATCAACTCCCTATTTGTCACAGAAAGTTGCATCACGGCTAGTCTTGGTGGCTTCAGTGTTCGAAACTGACGAAACGAATACATATGATGCCTCCAAGATTGTTCCGAGCATTCAAATGTGCTGTCACAAGTCACAAGCTTCTCATAGCAGAGGATATAGAAGCGAAGCTAAATAGCTAGAAACTTGATGTCTTCCGAAAAGTCACTCTCGGAGATTTTAGAAGGGGATGGAGATCGGAAAAAAAAATAATATCTCTTCCGGGAATCGGGAGGTTTCGGGTGGAGATATCCTTACAGCTATCTTCCTAGATGTCAGACGTCCAAGAAGGAACAAGTGCGCCACCTGCGCGAGGTTATTTCCACCTCTGAACCACTGTGCGCCGCTCACCCAGTTTATGTGTTCGACCAAAGCTTCCTTGAAATTACTCACAAAGATCATGTGGGGAAGACTCGCCAGATATTTCTTGTTATCGTCGTATTTTGATTCAAAACGCGCTTCTGATAGGATAGCGGTCTCCATGAGACGGTTGATGGTTGAGCTGACTCGTATCGAGGTCATCAATTGTCCGCTCTCTTCGGAAGATCCTCGATGGAAGTCTGACGGCAAGAACAGTCTGTTTCGATCCGTTTCCCCGAAGAGGAATTTATTAATGGTTTTCCTTCGTAGCGTGCGCGGTGCCGAGGCGCTCTGATGAAACTTCGCTTTACGAAGCAGAGATTGCAGAGACAAACTTCTCTCAAAAGGTCTAAGACCAGACGTTTAGAGGAATAACAAGGTACTACATGACGGCAGTCGAACCTCTGCCGACATTCGCTGAGCTCGATTCGATCTAGGAAAGCCAACATGATGAAGTTGAGGTGAATCTGCTTGACGAAAAAGCACATGACCAAAGCTGATCCTATCGCCATCATATGGGAGACTCCCCAACCTTTCACGACGATCTCGATTGTTGTGATGAAATTCATGGCGATTCGGGTCGCCGTGTCCTTTGAGCTCCCCCTCCTCAGCCACGAAACGGCTTTTGTCATCATCAGAATGCTGAGCAACAGGAGAATCGCAGCGTACGATTGAAGCGGCTTGATGAGTTCCGATATATTGGTTTCTCGCGGACTGGTTGGAGAAAAGCACTCCATCGAGGTGGATGTCGACGTCAAGAAACGGAATAGAATGCTCTTGTCGGTGTGGGAAATGACCCCTCGAGTAACGTCAAAGAAAGTCCTAATGAAACTTGAATTACACTTGGGGGTCTCGAGCAGTTCAACCATCGCACAGTGGTCAAAAATTGATTTCTAGGTGGACAAAATTATTTTTCCGATTTCCAATGTTTAAGGCAAAAAAGTGACTGAAAAGTGTGGGGAGAAGGTCTGAGGTGATAGATATGGATCCGTGTGGGGCAATGAGAACGGAAGCGTTTTACGATACGAACCATGGATTTCTCTCTGGCTTCCGAAAAAAATGGCCAAAACCTTTAGGGCCGCATTAGGACACTGTACCCTAATGTACCCAGTCTAACTTTTTTTTAAATTGCTCGTAAAAACCTCAGCTCTCACGAGGTGGTAACCGATTTTTGCGCTTTTTTGAGCTAAGGGCCTTATTTTCCGGAAAACCTCGGAAACGCCGTAAATGGTCGAGATATCGCTCGAATCGTGATCCAGCCCAGATTCTGTGTTGAGATTATCGTACCCGTGGATATTTGTTACTTCAGAGAGCATCACTCTGAGTCGTCCATCGGAGACGCTCCTCTGGTTGAGGACATCTGTGGTCGGATATCGAGATCGGGCAGCATCCAGCACGATGGGCGCAAGCGGGAGACCGCTCTCAGAATCGCCGCGTGCCGCGCTAAACTACCCCTGACTGCCTCGCGGCTTCTTCCAATGAACACTGAAGGGATTGATTGCGCATGATCGGAGCTGAGAGATCACACAAGGTAGACGATTTACACGACTTCAGAGCCCAACTTAGCCGATAGATCAATCGATCGATGGAAAAGTTCCAGAAATGTCAGCGGAAGAAGGATAAATTCTACCCCCATTGCTCGGGCTGGTTCCAAAAAGGGCCCTTCCGATTCAGCGTCAAGCTGAGAGTACAAGCTAAGCCATGTACATCGGCATCAACATCCATGCGAGGGGCTGGTCGACCAGAGAAAAATTTCTGCGATTTATCCGTAAAGTCAAAGACACGTAGAGTTCAACCTCTACTACGGTACGGCACAGGAAAACTATTGTACGCGGGCCATCTCTCCTTACACTGTTCCGGTGATCGACAGGGCTCCAAAACGGTGAAAGCTCTGTCAGATCGACCATCCTCAGCCGCATCCTCAGCGTCCTCCATCTCAGCGCTGAGGAGTGGGAGACCCATGAGGGATGCGACCCGTAGTGTTGTCTAGACTAGTGGAATGCTCTCGATAAGCAAGTTCCAACGAATATAATGTAGCTCGTTTAATTCGAAGAGTGTCTCATTATTGACCCCGTTGGGCCTCGAACTTCGTTTCTAGGGCCAAGATGACGACCAGAAACTCTCTCGGGCTCATTTCCGAACTCTAATGATCCGAGTCAGTCGAAAAAAGCCTTCAAATAATTTTGTCCACCTAAAAATCGATTTTTGACCACTGTGAGCCGGCAACAAGAAATCTGTGGTAGCGCCGAGACAAGCCGCAGCAGTTCAGGAGAGGATGGAAACCCTCGTTCGTGAATTTAGTAGCGATGTGTTCTTCATAGAGGGGTTTGTAAAAAGACGGTCTCGAACTCGAAAAGATTCGCTGTAGCGCAACACGTACAAGGGGCAAAACATGTAGCCTTGTTGAACTCCGTACCGCCGGCCTCGTCTCAAACGGATTCAGAGCTCGGAACATCAGGGAGGCGATCGCATTCAGCCTGGAGCTATGCGAGACCTTCATGGCTGCCGGCATTCCTCTGCACAAATAAGAAGATTCACGGCTGAAGAATTTCCCCGCAAAGCGCGCCGAACAGTCGATACCGTCTCCGGCCACTCTCCGATTGGGCTACGTGAAATACGCCTATGAGCAGAAGATTGCGCTCATCCGGGCTCGTGTGGGGGACAACCCCGTCTAGCTCTCGACCGAGGAGACCACCGATGTTACCGGACGCTCTGTAGCGCACGTAATTATCGGAACTCTCGCGATAACGGACAACGAATCTTTTCTCTTCCAGGCTGAGAGTCTCGAAAGAACGAACAGCTCGACGGTCGCTCAAGTATGTTTGAACGCTCTTACTCACTTGTGGCCGAACGGAATCGAGCAATGACGGATACTTCTGCTGGTGACAGATGCCGCCGCAAACATGAAAAAAGCGGGGAAAGCTCTGAAGGTGATCTTTCCGAAAATGCTACATGTCACCTACTTCGACGGGTGGTCAAGTGCTTAGCGCGTTTGTCACTACTCGTGAAAACCTGCATAGCCGCAACGACGCCGCTCGTGCGGGAGGCGGTGTGGGGTCGATCCCTGCTGCCGGAAAAATATGCAGGTACTCGGCCCTGACCCTCCTG